CTATAGCAACATTAGCGAAATGTGACCTTTGATAAAAATTTTTTGTAGCATAAATCCTTTGTCCATTTTCAAGCTTAACAGATTTGTATAATTCAATCCAAATTGATAATTCATTCAAATTATCTTCAGCATTATTAGATATTTCAAACTATGTATTTAAACAATTTTGTAAATTAGCCATTCCTAGTAATGTAAATTCATGTTCATTCGAATTTATCATTAAGGTTTGAACCTGAGTATAATCATTAAACCAGAAAGAATAAATTAATGTGTTAAATTGTCCATTGCTGTTTTGTAATTGATTATATGAAGTATTGCTTAATGATGCTAATATTATTCGTTGTTTTATCTATAAAATATAATTAATTAATAATATAATAATTTATAAATTTTTATATTATATATTATACGTATATATTTAACTACTTACAGTTCCTATTATTTGCATATTTATATCTCGTTTGTTGCTAGATCGGTAAGGTTTTTTAATATAATCTTTGTGAAGATATTCATATGTTTCTGAAGTCCATCCATTCATATTTCCAAATTCTCTAATTGATTCAGTTATATTATATAGCCAAGAATGAAGTTATATATGACTAAGACCTGAAGGAGAAAATTTTTTAGTAGATTTATAAAATCTTGTGCCCAATTAAATCGTGCAATCTATTTTTATAATAATTTAATTAAAAATAAAAATAATTAAATAAAATTTTAATATAATATTAAATTATTAAAAATACCTTAAATTCTTTTAAATCATTTTCATTTGGCATTATATTTCGACTCATTTGATACATAATATTCCATTTAATAAACAACATTGTTAATGCTTTATCTGTTTGTTTATCATATATATATAAAATACCATCAATTATAAAAGGTATAACTTTCATAATATTTCTGTATTCTCCTGCTGTAAAGCGCTTAATATTTTGTAATCCAAATTTAAATATTTTAAGACCATGAATAGGAGGAATAATTCCAAATCGATAATCCATTTCATTTATTGCATTATTTCCACCCAATTCTTTTAAAAGCATTCGACTATATTTAAGTTGATAATAAAAAAGCCCAATATCTAAATGATGTAGCCGATCTGGTACAGTAGCTAGATAAATATTTATATCAGGCATTTTCCAAAAGCTATTT